ATGTCGGATTTAATTTCTAAGAAGAAGAAGGATTTTTTTTCTCTGTATTTTTTTTTTACTGGTGTGTCTGCAATTGGGGTTGCCATATCATCAACATTTGCCATGCTCAGTAACAAAAGTTTTGGTGCTGGTGCAGAGAACGCTGGGGGTGGCTCAGCTGGCTCCCTTCAAACAGAGAAGGTGCAGTGCCTTGACACTAGTCACTGCTCAAAGTGGGGCACCAGCTGACCCCAGTGCTATCCCTGCAACCTGACTATGCTCAGCTTGGCTCCGTTGGAACAGAGCCCAGGAGCTGCCACTGCCATCAGCAGAAAGGCTTTAGGGCTGTTTCTTCCCCATACAGCTACACCCACTGGGCTCCTGAAGGGATCTCTCTCTCTTGCCCATGCATGATTGATCCCACGCAGCAGAAAGGGGCAAAGCCTCCCAGTCACCTGTTCCCACATCTTGGGCTCACGGCCTTTTTGAGACACTAAGGAGAGGTCATGGGTAGAAAAACAATAATAAACTCTGCCTCTTTTCAGGAAAGTATGTGCAGCTATGCAAAATATTTATAATACTGACAGACCAGGAAGTGACCTCCAACACCAGGCCTGTAATTGTCCAGGCTGCCTAATTGCTAGCTGGCTCCTAGGCTTTCTTTTGCAACTGCAAAGATTAATCATCTTCATGACAACGTCCAGGATTATTATGTCAATGACAGTTTGCCCCAAAGACAGCTCCCAGGAGAGCAGTGGGGATTTGGGGAACCCTCCACTCGAGATTGGGCTCCAATAATAAAAGAATTTCAGAGTGATGAAGCACTGGAACATAAAGCTCCTTCTGAGGGGACACTCACAGCTTGGCTGAGCAAGACCTTCAGTACTGACCCAAGTCTGAAGCTAGACCTGCTTTGAGCAGATGGGCTAGCTGAGCTCTAGTGGGCCCTTCCAGCCAACATTTCTGGAGAGAGGAAAAACCCACCGAGTTAAGAGGAGGCCTGTGGCTGCACACCACAAACGAGGCCACTGTGTCACTGAGGGATGTAGCCCCAAGTGCTGTGGAGGCGAGCCAGGTCTTGCCAAATGGGTCACAGACCCCTCCTGACTCTGTGAGCAGTAAGGCTGCAGAGGGTAAAATAGTCAAAAAAAACCCTGGCTAGCACTATTGGAAGTTTGGGGTGACAGTTTCATTACAGTGAAAGGAGGAGAGACAAAGTTGATAGGAAAGTGTAAGTTTTAAACTCAGACAAGATGTTTTCTTTAGGAAAACCTAGTGACTGTGCCAGTTCAGAAACTAGAAGAATCAAGCTGTTCTTCCTGAAACAAACTGCAGTTTCTTTCATGAACCCAAGAAGTAACTACAGGGGGATATTTAGGAAAGTCTTATGTCTCCTTTAAACCAGGATAATAAGGAAGCACTTACCTACAGTCACAGGTAGAAGAACAGGGAACCAAGAGAGCCTAGAAGCTTTCCCACCCTTCTCAAGTTTTCATTTAAGAGAGGTGATACAAGGTTTAATAACATAGCCTTTATTTTTGTCACTGGAAAGCAGACATTCTACAACTGATTTTTCATAATCAGGAAAGAAAATTTTACTTCCTATGATGGAATTACATAAAAATCTGTTTAAGTCACTAATACAAAAAAAAATATTAAAAAATGTTTGTATACTTCACAATGTAGTACCATCAAAAAGTCCTAAGTAACTGTGTTTTCTATAAGAAAGGGAAAAATAAAACAGATTTGCATGAAGAGAAGGCAATAGTATAAAACAATTAAATGTACATTATAAGGAATCCTGATGATTTGTGAACTCAGTTCTTGAGAATGGCTAAAGAAATAGATCCTAGCAGGATCAAACCTTGTATATTTACACTCAGAGGTGTAAAACTAATATTGCCAGTTAATTGAAATATGCATTTTCAGGATTGGCCTAAAAAGTAATGACAGGTAGAAGCTAAATTTGAAGTTCAGATGTTCACATCTGAAATAAACAACTTCTTGCATCATATATAATAATTAAGGCAAAGTATGTTATCTTTTGAAAATACCTTGTATATAGTTTCTGCATAAAAATATGAAATAAAAAATAAAACTATATATATTTAATGGAACACTGTTATGTATGGTCCAGCAGAATAAGGCACAGAAAGTAAATAGAATGCAAAAGCATGTATAAAAGTTAATGTGTTATTTTGAGTGGAATATAGCAAAATTCAAGTAGTTCTGAGTATGCTCATTCCTTGCAATAAGAATACATATTTTATGTAGGCATTTCATGCTAAGCCTGATGTACAAAGATTCATCAAGTAAGTACAATCTGTTGGAAGTAAGTAATTTATGCTGTGATCATATTTAGAAATCGGATAGCTTTCAAGCTATCTAAAAGAAGCCTCCTTATGAGACAACCTGAAATGCAAGTCTGAATTTTTCCACCAGGTGAAGTATGTTGGTTTCTTGCCCAAGTCACTTGACTGGGGCAATTTTTGTGTGCATGCTTAATATGAGGGTTAATACTTTCATTAATATAAATGACAACACATGCCCCTAAAGTTGGATGCATTTGCATGGTTTGTTTTCATGGGTATTCACAAGCAAATTTTCTCTCTCTGTATAATTCCACAGATGTCTGGGCAGAATGGGCCCCCTGGATCAGTGGAACAGCACGATCAGGGTCAGAACCCTTCCATTCAGGTGAGCTGGTGTTTAAATGTAGTCTGGAAGTATGGTCTGTTTATCAGCAAATAAGCACAGAATAGGGAATTTTAAGATATTTTGATTTGACACAAGTCAAACATCAGCATTTGAGCAGCACTCCCTTCCCCAAGTCGTATGTAGGAGATTTTCTCAAAGGAAGGAATAGGGAATTTTAAGATATTTTGATTTGACACAAGTCAAACATCAGCATTTGAGCAGCACTCCCCCGAGTCGTATGTAGGAGATTTTCACAAAGGAAGGGGAGAGCAGATGAAGTCTTTACTTCCTTCCCAAAGTTTCAGCTAGTTTCTTCAGTCTTTTCTTCAGCTCTAGAGGGAACTTCTCATAACATTTTTTGCAGACAGGCTTCATATCAAACTCAACAAATTTATTCCTAAGATGACAAAAGCAAAAACCAGACAAAGTTTTAGCAGTAGGGACAGTGAAAAGAAAAAAAAGTATCCTGTTAAATATGCACAGGCAAAAAATCACAGCTGCAGTTTATATACAAAGTTATACACTGTAGACAATAATTACAGCACCCTGCTGAGCAAGTTACACAGTTTTCACCCAAATGTCCATGTTTATTAACTGTGCCATTTTAAAAGCCTTTCAAAACTACTTGTAGAGCTGAGCAGACTAAACATAAGACAGTGAAATAACAAGCCAAGATCTAAACCTGCAGCTGTGTAAAAAATGTTTTGGCTTTGATTGCCATAAATTCATGCAAACAATAAAAGCATCCTTAGCACTGACCAAAGAAGAAAGAAGCAGAGGTGGTGGCAAGGAGGAAAGGCAGTTTACAAACAGATTGGCTTTTTCTTTTTCTGCTTCTCTTTATCCTTCGCTTCACGTTCCCGTTTGGCAAGTCGCCGCTTGAATTCGTCTGGCATTTTCTCATAACAGTGTTTGCAGACAGGTTTTAGATCAATTTCAACAAACTTATCCCTTTCGAGTCAAACACAGACAAAATAAAGGACAGAAAAGGAGAAGAGTTAAGAAGACTAGCTGAAGGAAGACCTACACAGGCAGCTGAAAGAGACATAAACTACTAAGTGGAGCAAGAGGAAGAAAGAGGCACATGTTTTCTCAGGGCTGCTTATGTGTTTTTCCTACTGTAACAGTTTCACTACAGTAACACCTATTCTTTGAAGACAACCACTGCTATGTTTTGAAGGCATCACACTTATGGGTAAACTTACTTGAGTGTTAGCTTAGTGTTGCAAGTTGAACAAGCGAAACAGTTCACACACCATGCCTTATTCAGAGCAGACACAACTAGGGGGATGGGGAAAAAAGAAATCATTAGCTTTACACACACAAAAAAAAGTTATTACAAACATTTTAAGCTCACACGTTCATGAGGCATGAAGAACAGTCATCTGATTCTTGCCTTAAGGGCTGTAACAATAACATGGTGAGACTAGGGAGGCAGGTGTGAGTCTAGTGCAGCAGGACTGTGAGGCATTGATAAAGCTTTTTCTTCAGAAAGGGCAGTTTAACCTATTTCTGCCTCCTGTTTCTTGCTTCCACCCCATCTCATAGCATGCTGACCTCAGGCAACTGTTCTATGAAGCCATTTTTCCAACTTAATCAGGAAAATTTTTCAGCTGAAATGCAATCCAGCAAAATTGTGTTTTATGTTTTCATTCCACTTCATATCTCATATCCACTTCAGGCTGCAGTGCCATCAACAGCAGCACCTGCCTGGCCAATGAAAACAACATGAAGCCAGCTCAGGACACTGATGGTAAATCAGCACTACCAAGGTGAAAAAAATTATGGACTTGTGGGATAAATAACTTGATCAAGGTAACTTGGATGTATTTTTCTTCTTTTCTTTGGGGAGAACATAACTATTTTCTCTTTGTTGTGTATCTCAGTCTGTTTTCCATTCCACCTCTATTTCCATACCTTCCCAACTTTCCCTGCCAAAATTTGCCTCTCCTCTTAATCTAAGTTTGAGGATGCAGGACAGTGGTTTCCTCATAAAATACAATATTTTGTCACCAGCAAACAGAACTAGAACACTGTCATGCAGAGCTTTTTTCCTGCACTATGGGGCAACCAGGTCCACAGATGCACAGTTATTCCACTGCTTGCCAAAATAATACTAGTCAGATTGAAGTCTTTTTTCCTGGGCAACCTCTGTAATAAAGTCATAGACAAGCTTCCTGAAATTTATTCATTCACCTCAAGTTCCAGTTCTGCTCATTCTAGCAGGATTTTACTGAGGAGGAGCAAGATACTGTTTCCTCCAAAGCATTTTAGACTGTTGTTCTGCAGGTATAATCCAATCCAGAAAATATAGGGAAAACACTTCTCTGGAATGTAGGTCTCACCCTGTAGTTACATGACTATAAACTACTTTATGTCTCTTTTTACACACTAGAGGTTTCCTCCTGCTTTGGCTAATGTCTTTGGCTCAGGTGAGGCTAAAAACAGTATGTACTTTGGGCAGGGGTAAATAGGCATATCATGTTGCATTACTTCACTTAGAATAATTTGCTTTTGGCATTTTATCATAGCTAGTTGTCAAAAAAAAAAAAAAACCGAACTTAAAACCACCTCCCACCCCCCAAAAAACCCCAAACAGGTCAACAATTAAGCAACAAAAAAAACACCTTAGGCCACGTGCTCCCAGTTCTGCCTTTACAGGACATGTCTGTCCAAGTATGATCCTTCCTGGTTTTGTGACATTATCGTCAGCCTAGATTTTCAAAAGAGGGGTGCCTGCAATAGGTAAATATATCTAGGAACCAAACTGACCTGATGCAAACTAGGCACTTTTACAAACTCCTGCTCCCCCACGTCATTCAATACCTAAATACTTTTTCAGACTTGGTTCACGACCCCTAAATTAATTTGGGGAGATGCCTGTGTGTGGTCATTCTCACCCTTGCATGTGTTCTTTGAAGTCAGTGGGGCAGGAAGCCACTTCTGTACCTCTCAAGCATCCCTGGTCTTTGCATGTTACTGAGGGGCTTCCAGCTGACCACAGTGCTCTTCAGCCACTGCGTGGTCCTCTACCATCATGAAACTCTTGCTGTAAGATTTTCTGAACATTTGGTCTCTGACTAATCAGCACTAACCCAATTTACAACAAAGAGAATTGCTGGTTTTGTTCTAATAACAACCAAGGATTCTACAGGGGGCTGCTTTCCCCTCACTTCCACTTTTAAAGAGAACTTCCATCAGCAAGGACCATTAAGGAAACAGAAGAGTGCTCACCATCTCCTTCAATCACACGGTTGCAATGGAAACAAACATCACCAAATAGCTGAAGAGTAAAGAGAAATAACAAATTTTTAACTTAGTGATTTTATTGAGGGTAACTTCTCAAACTAAAAACATTATTATTTCAGCTGATGGGCACAATAGTTTTCCTATTTATTTTAGTAAAATAAATAGAGTGCTGGCAACTCTGGTTTGGTTTTCCAAGTATGTTTTGCATCATCTCATCACAAAAAGTCTTTATAATATTAAAGATGAAAACATTTGTTTATGTACATCTGATCCTCTGTAAATATGAATTTGTTTTTTAAATTTAATTTCTCTAATACTGAACATCTGAAATACAGCAATTGGTGTCACATACACATTGTTACTAATTAGCCAATTTAACAATTGGACTTCCATGCATGACCAGAACAACATATTGCTGTTTCTGGCAAAAACTGTAAGGAAATTTTATTTTTACTTAAAAAAAAAGGAATGTTTAGGCCAAACATTATTCATTCTATTTCCAGGCTTAACATTTGCCCACAATTAAGCAGTGCCCAAACTTTCATGTATTTTTTCTACCTGTAGTAGTTAATAGAAAATAAAATAGAAAAATAGAAGACATCCACTCTACCTACAGCTCTGGTCTGCTGTACTTACTTGTCCCATCATGGCTTCAGCACTATTACCACCTAATGTCATGACATTTGCTCTCTAACAAGTACGCCAGCAACGTTTCAATCATCTGCCTTTCATCACTGACAAATTAAGAATCTGTAATTAGCAGATGCCTTACAACTCCCAGATGTAACCCCTCCTCTTGCATTTATATAAGCAAAGAGGTGGACGTGACAGAGTGCAGATGGCTTCCAAACAAAAAAGGTCTGTACGAGTGGTGCTGGACTCCACCACCCAGGGACTCTGCAGAGAGACAGCACCACGGCAGAGAACTCCTCTAGAAATGCAAGTGGTCACTAGGGGGTGTCCTCTGACAAATTTCACCCTCGAAGTCTTAAGGAGTGAGCTGGGTGACCCAGTGCATTTTCCACAGTCACCTCAGAGTAGCAGCTGTGGGGAAACCCACACTGCTTGTTCACTAGGGCTTCCTCTTACACGCAGCTGCTCAGTGGCAGCTCTTGGGAAAGATGGGGAGTCATTAGCTGCTCTGATCTCACAGACATGCCAACAGCTCTACTTAGGCACTACCACTAAGCCTGAAGAACAACTCCATGCTGATTGTCCTGGGAAGCCTTTGGGAAATAATGGCAGTTTTCTTTCTCAGTACCAAACCAACGTCCAGAGCAACCTACACAAATTAACTGCAACAGAACATCTGCTAACTGGCATTACACCCACAGGTGCCTATAAGAAAACAAAAGGATGTCTGTGGTTTTCCATCTGTATCTAATGAAACCAATTCATGAGTTCACCAGTTCATACCAGTTAAGAGAACAGGGCACTGTACCTGGTTGTAGTGGGTTTCACAATATGCCAATCCTTTTCTCTCGTAATGACGATGACCCAGGAATGGCTTTTCACATTTTGCACAAACAAAATGCTACAAAGGAAATGACACATTTTTAAATGATTATTTGGAAGCATTTTTTTTTTCCACAAAAAATAAACCAACTCCTGTTTCACAGTGGAAGACTGGCCACAAAGAAGATGAGATTAGGAGAGGCATTTACTTATCACTGCTGCATACTTTGTTAATCCTTTCACTGAAATTGATCAGCAAAATCACAGAAAAGTATGTTTATGTTGATAAAAGACAATGTATTATCTGATGTTTACCTCCACATGCCATTGTTTGCCCATAGCATTCACCACACGGCCTTCAATTGGTCTTCTACATGCCCCACAGATGGGGACACCCATTTTGTCATGGCAGGGCAAGCAGTATAATTCTCCCTTCAACTCACGAGCATCAGCAGTAAGTTCCTTCCTGTTCAAAAATTAATTAATTGAGAGCATGAATAAAGGCAAAAAAATGGGGTTTAGCATTTTTTTTTTTTAGAAATGGCATTTGTACTGTAGTACTTAAACGTGACCACACTCACTAATGCTCTGAACTGGTCACCACTGACACAACATTACATGTTGTTATTCAACTCAGCTTTTGCCACAGCACTGAACTGGTACCTTCCTTTGCACCAGAAATAAACAGCTAATAATCCATGGTCTGTGCATCTGTGGAGGGTGTAGGAGTTTGCAGCTTTAGCATTCGTGGCTGCAGAAGCTGATAAAATGAGGTGGGAGAAAGCTTCTAAGACCAAGATAGGCTTCAAAAGGAGAGAACAAAATTTGCATGCCAGTCAACTAAAACAAAATAACACAGGCAAGACAGTAACTCAAGCAGCCAAAGAGGACCACTTTTCTTCTTGTAGCAGAATAACAGGCTATCATCTGGCTGCTACAGAATCCATCAGCTGCATCCATATATCCTGTTTTGTAAGGTGCCACCTTGTCCTGCAGAGTTCAATCTTTCTTTGCTGACAGGTCAGCTGCTGTTTGAACTCAGCATCCAACTCCACCAGCCCATAAGCAGTAACACACATCTGGCCAGGAAGCCCCCAGACCCCACCCCTCCTGCCAATTGTACAGGACAGGTTTTCACTTTAAGATGTAAATTGCTGCAGCAAATAAATCCAGTATTGTCCCATTTTCCTTTGCAGAACTCGAGTTACCCGCAGTTGGCACAGTTGAAATGATCAGGGTGATAAGGATCATTTTTGAATATGAGAGGCTGTTCATCAATGATGGCATGACACTTCTGGCAAATGTACTTTCCCAGGCCTCTGGCTTTTTCCCTGTTATGGCAAGGACGGCAGAGATGTCTGAAACAACATAAAAAAGAGAGGTAAGTACTAGCACCAGCTACTACAGTGCAAAATATAACCCAAAAATCTATTAGAAACTCTTTTCAATCAGTCCTTTTTGGAGGGAGAGTAGTCTTTAAAACAATTCCCTTGCTAGAAAAAACAAGTACAGAAGGGGAAGGGTGATCATTTTATTTTCTGCCACTACAGGAGTATCATTTCTTCAGCTCATATGAGTTTAAACTGTGTTGGAACACAGAAAACGAAGTTTGCTATAGATTCTCATTGCTGAATGTTTTACTCTCAAAATCCTAAAAATTTAGATTGGAAGCTGGATGAGCACACAGTTCCAAATTCTGTAGCTAACTTTGTCTATCATATTATACACATGAAGCAAATGGCCAAAGAATCCACTTGTATAGCATTCTTCTGATCACAGATGGTAAAAATATCCTACTCTAAAGGACACCACTAAAACTAATGCTATTATTAATAAGTAAGGTGCTAAACTAGACCAAAATTTGAAACCCAAAATGGAAAAAGAAAGTAAAAATTTTTATTAAAAAAAATAAGACAGTATTTCTGTATCTTAAAGTCTTCTCTCTTATTAAGTGTAACAGTGGTCCCGAAATGTCACCATCTAGAAAATACGTCTGCCAAGAAACCTGATTTTTCAATAGGTAAAATGTCAATATTTTAAGATACTCCATTTTGTGATGCACTCTCAGACCTTTTCCCCTGATGCTTCAGCTGCTAGACCTCAGCTGGAAAGCTTAAGGAATCAAAACCTCTCAGTCCCTGCTCTTAGTTCATTTTAGTCACGATCAGTTACCAGAAAGAAGGGTGAAGATCTACCTGCCAGCATTCTTGACAAATCCAATATCAGCCAGGACTTGTTGGCAGATGTCACAGCAGAAGCACTCTGGATGCCAGCTGTTGTTCATAGCTTTAATAACACGACCAATAATGAACTCACCTGCAAGAGACACAACACCAGGATGTAAAATACCAAGCTAGATGAAGTGAAAAGCAACCAACAACTCAAATTCTACAATGACAACATCACCACCTCTCCCCACCTCCAAATCTGGTAGGATACATTGCTTTCACTATCCCAGTTCTGGTTCTAAACTCTGGAATTGGGGTTTATTTGGGTTTCTTTGCTATGGGTCAGAAGATGACATCGTTGCTGATGGAGGACCTTCTGTTCTTTACACACAAGCTCTTTTACATGGTGGCTCCACCTTTTCTCTGCTATCATCTTTTTTCAGTTCTTTCCCTGTTCATAATTATTTGTTCTCAAGCTCTCAAGAAACATATGGAGTTCTTTCTATAAGATGGCTTTCTTGTGTCTTAACCATCTTTCTTTTCTATAAGAAGATGACAATTCTAACTTGTCATGTACACAGTAGTGGTTTCTACTCCACTAGAATAAGCATGCAAGCCCATGGCATTTCCACAATGTCATAGCTTTTCAAGAACAAATCCCAGTGCACTCCAGGAACGTCAGGAATGCTCGTGGCCTCATTGCTGACAACAGCCTCCTCAATTTTGACTGTGAGTGCTAAATCCCAGCAGTGGCACAGCCCAGCTCTGTGCAGGACCTTGATGAGATTTTAAGGGAGCTGGTGCTCCAGGAGGCTAGGGCAGGAGAAGTGGGAGCTGTGTCAGCTGGGCACAAGAAATCCTGGAGACAGGCAGCCTTATTTTTAACTTAGAAATCACCATCAACCCATCTTCCTCTTCCCCTGCCTGTTCACATCTGCAGCTTTAAATTCAAGGGTCTGTAACACGTGCTTCCCTCTCCCTCAGTGTCCAACCCCTCCCTTTGCTTGGGGAAAGGCCTCACTGAGGTAAGTGAAAGCCACAGCACCTTGCCAAAGTGCTGCAGAAACACAGGAGCTTCCACATCAGCTTAAGCAACAGTCAAGCCATGACTTCCCAGCCTTGCCTGAGCACAGTATGTCACATGGAGGTGGGAAAAAACCACAATCCCAGCAGAGCAGACACACAAGCATTTCCATCAACAGTGGCAAATAAAAAGCAGCCCTCAGTGTTAGATAGGGTGGGCATTAGTTGCTGAAGCCTTAAGGTATTTGTTTCAAAAACACACCAG